TCAGATTGTCCTCTGTGGAGGTTATGAGACTTGGGGCAAATGAGCTGACGTTCTTCATTCTGGGGTCTAATAAATGCAGCGAGACCTGTCAGTCAGTCTGGACCAGAAATATCACAGATCTCTTTAATATAGTTCCTCTGAGAAATTAGATTATGTAGAGCAGCGGTTCTCAATTCCAGTCCTCGCGTACCCCCGCTCTGCACATTTTGTATGTTTCTCTTATTGCTTCAGACGTTTGTTATATTTGACTGTAAGTGCCCTGCGAAGTGGACATTACCGCATATTCCGCCATGATTCCAGTTTGAAGGGTCTAATAATGTTCCATATATGTTCCATACAAAGCGTATATGTTCCATACAAAGGGCATTTAAGTGTGCGAGACGTGAATTTAAATTGTATTTATTTACAGAGGTATATTATGTCCCACTTCACGCTTCTCTAGTAAGTTTCGTATGTGTGTGAAGACGCTGTAGGCAGCGGCACAGAGCAAATCTGTAAATGAATATTCTGAAGTGAAGTAAACTTCAACGGATTTCCCCTGTTCAGGGAATAGGGAGCAATGGACACTGTGTAGGGACCATGTCAATCGGAACACAGTTCATGCACGGAGCTCACTTCTAACGAGATGATGATCTGAATCAGGTGTGTTAACAAAGAGAGACATGCAAAACATCCAGAGCGGGGGTACGCGAGGACTGGAATTGAGAACCGCTGATGTAGAGGACAAATGGAGACTTTTGGTGACTTCAGTCTTCTCAGATTTGTCTTGAGAAGTCACCCCAGTAATTTAACACATGTCTCCTGAAAATGTGTCTCCAGAACACCAGAAGGGACCAAAAACATTTCAACAGTCAGAACCATACTGAAACTATGAGCCAGTATTACATTAGAGACTTGGGATCTTTTGACTTGGACTAGTGAGAAAACAGACCTAATAATCAGAACAACCACCAATTAGCATTGTGACAAGTTTTGCACCGGCAAGTACCACTCACACTGTCCTGGTTAAACTTTTGAGATAAAGTTGATACCTAATGTACACTTCCATCAGTTTGGGGTCAGTAAGATTTAAAAAAATATATATGAAATTAATACTTTTATTTTGCAAAGATGCATTAAATTTGATCAAAGGTGACAGTAAAAATATTGGTTGCATTTTATTTTACAGTACATGTACTTACAGTGTACCTACCTAAGAAATTCTGTTAATACAAGGTAACTACATGGGGTAGGGTTAGGTTTAGGGGTAGGTTCAGGGTTAGTACCTAGTTTTTACATAGTTACCATAATAAGTACATAGTATGTACATGAAGAACAAGACTGTATATAAAGTGCTACCAAATTATTTATAATGTTACAGAAGATTTCTATTTTAAATCAATGCTATTCTTTTGAACTTTCTATTCATCAGAGAATCCTGAACAAGAATAAGAATCATAACCATTATTTTCCTTAAATGGTTAGTTCAGCCAAAAGTGAAAATTCTGTCATTAATTACTCACCCTTATGTCATTCCAAACCCGTAAGACCTTCGTTCATTTTTGGAACTGACACGGAAGACAAGAATCTATGCAGGGTCAGAAAGCTCTTGGATTTCATCAAAAACATCTTAATTTGTGTTCTGAAGATGAACAAAGGGCTTACGGGTTTGTAACAACATGAGAGTGAGAGTATGTTTGGGTGAACTATCCTATCCCTTTAAAAATGTTACAATTTCAATGTTTCCACAAAATATTAAGCAGCACAAGTGTTTTCAACATTGATAATAATAAGAAATGTTTCCTGAGCAGCAAATCAGCATATTAGAATGATTTCTGAAGGATCATGTGACACTGAAGACTGGAGTAATGATGCTGAAAATTCAGGTAGAAATACATTTTAAAATATATTCAAATAAAAGTTATTTTAAATTGTAAGAACATTAGTGAACATAAGAGACTTAAAATCTTACCAAGCCAAACTTTTGAATGGTAGTGTACATTAAACATTGCTGGGGAGCTCATTAAGTTTTGAAAGAACAACATCTGAGCAATAAAATTTCATCTGGAGTCAGATATTAGGAAATAGTAGCAGAAATTCTCAATCAGACCTTTAGTTTCCTTTAGACAGTTCCTGAAGGAATTACCTTATTACTGGGATGTTCATGTGCCCCATTCTGAAGTGAACCAATAACTTCCCTCACGGAAATCACGGTTCCTTTCACGTTAGGCTGAAATTTATTTAGTCTCTCCAAATATGTCTGAATCCATCCCAGTAAGAAATGAGCCATACATGACATAAATGAGAAGCGACGGACTTCGTTTTGAGCCAGTCTGTAGCGAGCACATGCTTTTCTGATAGAGCAAATCCATTTCAATTCTATTGAAAGTATCAAAAGAATAGATATGTGTTAATTTCATACTCCACTCGAGAGCTCTAAGTAATCTGGGCTTAGCGAGTCCCTCTCATGAGAAGCACGAGAGGGAGGGCGAAGAGGATAGAAACTGTTCAAACAAAATGAAATGGATGAGATATTAAATTAGAAATGTTCTGTTTGGAGGCCTAGCAGATTCCAACTGACGTGAGTGTGCAAAGGGCTTTACATAATCGTGAAACAAAAGGTGAAAGACTGGCACGGTTTTAGCTAGTTGTTTCACTCCGGAATCCGGGTTGGCTGCCGTAATGAAGACGTCCTCGGTGACATTGTACGGCCACGGCGTCGCTAAAAGAGAAGAGGTTGAGCGGCCACTACTTGAAAAGTCATTTCAGCTTTGATATGTCACGGCCGTATGAGGTTCTGTAGGATAAGCAGTTCCTTTTGCAAATTGCACAACAGAGAGAGAAAGTACTTGCAGAGGACTTTGTTCAGTGGAGCGTAGCCGCTATGGCACTAGGTTATGAAGTTTAATATTTTTGGCGGCCGTTCAAAGAGAATAACACAAAAGACGGATGCTAGTCCGCTACTGCCAGGCACAGACACAATCCTCAGTACTCTTCTGAATGTCACAGAGAACGAGTGCGTGCCGTTCAGTGGACAAAGTGTGGTGTTTTCGTTCCTGTGTGAGCACTAGTTACTATGAAGGGGTCAACGTTTAGCTGTTTAGCATGGCGTAGTTAGCTGTTAAAAAAAAAAAAAAAAAAAAAACTGAAACCAGCCTAAGTTGGTTGGCTGGTTTTAGCTGGTCTTCCAGCCTGGTCGTAGCTGGTTTAGTAGGCTGGCTTTAGAGTGGTTTTGAACACTTTTTTAGCTAGTCAGGCTGGGAGACCAGCTGACTAACCAGATTAAAACAGCTGAATATCAGCTTTGTCAGGTGAGGTCATGTCCAGCTTAAACCAGCTAAGACCAGCCAACCAGTATATGTCAGTTTTAGCGTTTTTGTTTGTTTGTTTGTTTGTTTTCCAGCAGGGAGATGCTATTTCATCTGTGATACATGGGCTAAGACCAATTATTAATGGGTATTTTATTCGTTGCCTTATTAGAAATTATAGAAAATTGCTTTACCATGTACTCTTAATCATGAAAGTATGTTAATGTGTAAAGTTACATAAATCACAGGTATATTAAATTATTAGACACTTGGGCCAGTAAGGAAACACCCACCACTAGAAACCCTAACAACACCACAGCAACGCCCTGGCAACATGGCAGCTAGTTTTCCATAGGCAAGTAACCCTCAAATGTTCTTACTTTTTTGCTACGAAAATTGTCTTATTTTACTAATTACTGTTTTTATTTTATTTTATTAAACATATCTTATCTGACTACTCAGTTTTTGAATGCAAGTTGATGACAGTTTTATTTAGTATGTCTTCTTAAGGAATAGTTTTTAAAAATCCTTACAGAAAATTATTTTGGATTTTTTTTTTTTAGTATATGTAAATGTATAACATCTTGTGTAATTTTAATCTATTGCATTTTTCTATTTTGTCTGGTTTTATTTTGTACAACTCCTATGTAACTGGTAAAAAATGTACAACATAACTCTTGCCATAAAAATAGCCTCAGCTGCTGACATAGAACTCAAATTTATATTACCTAAATACCTACTGTTTTTAATTTATCCAATGACATTGTATTGTTAATTACTTAATTGTCATATTTACTGATTTAAATTGTCACACATCACATTATACTGCATTACCAAAGCTAAAAATGGTCAAATTAAACATTAGCATGTGCGTTCAGTAAGCCTTCGTTTAACAAACTAACAGCTAAGCATGCTGACTTAGCATAGCACTACTACTTCTCTTACTAACTAAAACCAGAAATCATGGCAACATGCAAGGTTTTGGACAGGCATTGAAGATCCACCATCTGGATCCTAAAAGCATTTTAGGACCAATCTACACTGGTGGTCATTTAAAATGAGCTAAATATCTATTCTGACAAAGTCATTTTTTTATAATTTTACCAACCCAATTATTTTGCAAGGGCTTCTTTTTAATAGTTAAGACTCATAATACTTAAAGATATAATACTCAAAGCACAGCTGCATTAAGTTAAAACTGCTTTAAAGTAAAGGAAAGGAATGAACACAAGAAAGACAATGTAGATAAATGAGCCGGGAGTTTTAATGAATACCTTTGTTGTTCTTTTGAAATTTAAAGTAGGTCCCATCCCTCGTTCCTCAACTTGAAGAAAACAGCCTGCCACGCTCAGAGCAGAGGCGGAGCAATCCGTTTTCATCGTACCACAGAGGAATGGATTCCTCTACGGGGGAAAGTGCTGATTGCAGTTAAGCTTTTTCGCTAAAGTACCGTCTTGGCGAACAATCGGTCATTCTGCCACAGACAATTTAGACAAATCAAGGAAAACTCAACCTACATAAAACAATTAACCATTCAAACATCAGCCCTGTGCGCAGAAGGGATTGTCTTCTGTGATGAATGCTCGACTTGAGGTAAGAGGTGAATAAGTCTCAAAAAGGTTTCATCTTTTTGGATTTCTTTGTTTCTGAATGTTTCTGAACGTTCTCTTTTGACTTTTGAATTGCGTAAATTCTCGTCCATATTGCAGCTAATTCTTACCAAGAACCGCCCACGTAAACAGGAAGTGACTGTCTGATTGACATTTAAAGTGACCATCCACAGTTCTCTCACCATATTCGGACAATATTGTGCATACAGGTAACTAACTACTCTGATCTGACTTGGACACACAAAAAAATAATGTAAAAGCATATAAATACTTTGTTGTTGTTGTTTGTTTAGTTTTTTTGTTTTTTTGAGTGCTTGGGTATCAGAGTACGTGTGCATATGTTGTTGAGCAAGCGTACTCCACGCTGCAGTTTATCAAATCACACCTTCAAGGTCACTATTACAGCACAGTCTCTCGCTTTCCATTTCCTCTGGAGCATTTTTCAGTTGTGCTCTGTTTTCTCAATGAGATAACGGGCCGTGTTCCCCAGCTGTCTCCGCAGCTTTAAATGCATGACTACCCATTCCGATCTCCCTATAGGGGAACAGAATGAGTCTACTTTACTTCAGTGGGGTCTGCCGCAGGCCGGCGAGCGTCTCCAGGGGACAGCGCGTTTAAACGCTGCATCCAACAAGCCTCAGCTTGAGAGCAGATTTCACAAATCATCATATCAGTTAAAAGCAAAAAATGTGCGTAATCATGATACACTGTCATTTTTCGTTACATATAGAGTGACAGATATATCCAGAAGGCATACATACACTGATTCTCATGAATCAAATGTGTTTTGCCTGCCTTTCATTTAAAAAAAAAGCCTGCATTTTCCAGATAATCACTAGAATGATTTTGTAACAAAAATTTACCATTTAATTGTACTTTCTCTTTATTTTATCAAAATTATGACATTAAATTATAATTAAAATAAATAATTAAATTATCACTTTAATTCAGTATTAGGGCAGTCAGTTGATTCAAAATTATATTTAATTAATCATCAAATTAATTAAATTAACTGCAAAATTTTATCACATTATTTTGTTATAATTAATCATGTCATGAAAGTCCTCTTTATAGATAGATAGATAGATAGATAGATAGATGGATGTAGAAATATAGTTATTTATCCTATAAAGAAGCACTATTCTGACATAATAAAAAGAGCTTATTAAAATGTGCCTTACAAATTCTTGTTAGTTATTTATGACATTCATTATTTTACAATAAGTACAGGCAATATGAAATTCAGTGAAATATTAATTCTTCACTATCATGATTTGTCAGGCCTGTTTTGTCTCAGATTGTAAACATGATGTTTTGTAGGTCCTCTAACAGTTTTTTAAAAAATGCTTAGACACTAAAAGTGGTACTTGAGGCCCACTCAGTGAAGCCATTCATTCATATACCTCATCTTTAGACCAAATCTGCAAAACTACAAGCACATTACGTGCTTTAAACGCAGTTTACTATTGTAAAACAAACTTTTTGCAAAAATCTAAGCACAGTTCTCTACATTACACACATCATTCAAAACTAACAGCTCTTTTGTTTCGTTTGGGAAACTGCCATTTAAATGCCACTCATTTACTGATGACCTACACCTACTGTGTGTGTGTGTGTGTGTGTGTGTACAGTACATACATACACACACACACACACACACATATATATATACACTGAATATGCATACAAGCTAAGTCAGAAAGTCAACTTTATTTCTAAAGCGCTTTATATAATTGTTTCACAGCAGCTTCACAATAGTATCAAATTCAAATTCTGATGTAAAGCTGCAAGTCAATAGTGTCATTATACAGCTCAAGTCAGTTCAGTATTTATATAGTTAAGTTACATAACTGTGTAAAATTCATCAGTTGTACATACATACTGTATATACAGTGTATATGTTCATATGCATGTATGTGCGAGTGCTCTGACAAACTCCTGTGCTCTACTGCACTCTGAACAAGCAAAAGACACACAAGAGTAGTGTTTTACATTTTTCACATCTGTGTGTAGTTTGGTGTGTATGGGCTAATTATTTGATGCTTGTGTGTAGAGTTACTACGCAAAAATACCACTTTTAGAAGAGTTAAAATAGTTTTGGATTAAGTGTTTGCTTTTGCAAGATATGTGTGACAAAAACTGTAAGCATTTTTTTTTTTAAAGTAGTAGCTAGAAACATCAGAAAAACAAGTGGGAAAATATAAGATTGGGATTTTAGAGACACAATTTGACATGACTTATTAAGACTTATTAATCTTATTAATATCATATCTAACTTTCATTACACAAATTTATATTTTTGTTGTGTATTAGTAATGTTAGAAGTTGTCTGGCTGTCAACATCATATAAAATGAGGTATAAAATATCAGGAGGTAAAGAAAATAGTTGTAGCCATATAGGGGATTTTGTACCTTTCGTAATATATCATATTGATTTTTCACATAGCAAATATGTGCGTGTGGCATTTGAGTGCTAATGCACCTGAGCCCTTGAGATAGGATGCATGATAAAAAATAATCCTGTGTGGAGCCAGCAATGCTAATCAATACACTTCCAGGCTTGGCTGCTAACATTAGCTTGGAAGGCTAATGTGGTAGATCTTTGAGATTAAATTCATTGTGTCGGCTGGGACTTGTTTTGCCTTTGCTTGCATTTGTGTGTAATCAAACGGACAGGTAGTCCCAGTCGACTCATTTAGTTCTGTTGTTGTAGTTTAAGTGTGTTCTTGGCTATTTGTTCATTTATGTGTGTATATGTGTGCGTGCACATGTTGCCATTTTCTGCTCATTATCTCACAGAGCTGCTGGGAAAGATCCACCTGAGTCTCTCACAACCTCTTTGCCATTTTTGGTTTTGTAAATGGAGAGAAAACACAGCCCCTGATCAGGCTATCAGTGCTCCTCCGAGCTTGAGTAAGCCAACATAATGAATGATCAAAGGAAACAAGCTAACTTGCTAATGCAGGAGCAGTAGGCTGTACGTGGTTCATTGCAACGATAGCACATACAAATAGTAAATCTTCAGTTGTTTAAGATACTTAAAGGTGATGTGTCTCTTGATTTTAAAATACTTTCTCCTATTCCAGTAACAGCAAGTTACTTTATTAGCCAGTTAAATAAAATATACCGGAAATATGTTAATGAGTTGACTGTATGACAGTTTCAAGATAAAAACATAAAAAAATAGTAAATAGCATATAATTAAAATGTAAAAGAAAAGGCAAAAGATGATGAATTTAGTATTGGTTAATGTAAATACGGATAATATTTATGTTCACAATGACTTTGGTTTTTTTAAATAAGCAGAATTATAAGAGTGTTTCAAAAGAAATCCATTTTTGTGATTGCATTTGGTGCATTTGGTGCAGAGCAAACAATCTGTTGACTCTTTTTTCAGCAAGAACACAAATTATAGTTCCCTAATTAATTCGCACAGTCCGCTAACAGAATTTAAGGCTACGGTACGACCCAATTTAGCAGGGAAACTCCCATAAGCATGATATATTGTTGCTGCTACGTTTCTGTGGCTCATCTCATTATGGATTCTTATCACCATGTGAAGTTTCCATGCGCAGTATGAGAGAGCGAGATAAGGCTGGGGTTTAAAATCATTTTAGGCCTGGCCATTGTGGTAAAAAATTATAACCTCTCCTCTTATCTTTCAAGCGCAAGAGAGGAATCATCTGATGTAGAGGTATGCATCTGCAAAAAAACACTAAAGAGTGCTGCTTTGTTATTAGCTGAGCTGTTGAGCTGCTTTGCTGTCATTGGTTCACTCATTCCATGCTTCACTCTGATTGGCTCACAGGTCGCCAGGCCCATAGCGACGACTGTTGGGGATTAGCAGAAAGCTGCCAGAGCCGCTGTTTACATTTGTGAGATACCCTCAGGTTTCTGTTTACCTCAGAAGCTATGAATCCCGGCAGTTATGTGTCTTTTTCTTTTTGTGTGGCTCGCCGGCTAATATAGACGGATTCCGCAACATGAAGTTAAATTACAGCTAAGAGCAGCAGGGAAATGAGGGGATATGTCTCTCCTGTCCCACCTTATGGTGAGTGACACTTCATATTAGCACATAATGAGGAGTATGTATGATCATCGGATGATGGGGACAAAAAAGGATTTACGGCTTTAATGACTTTAAGGAGGGGATATAGCTATGCTCAGTTTAAGGGGGAAAAAGATACTATTTATAATTACAAAAAAAAAAAAGAAACTAGCATACATAAACATACAAAAATGTAGTTAGCATTATGCCATTCTCTAAAATTCCATTAATATTTTGTGGATTTTCCAGAATTTTATATTATTTTTTCCCCCCAGAATTTTCTTGTTTAAACTTTCCTGAATTTTTTTAATGTATTTTCAGTGTTTCATCAGCTTTAGACACATTTCCAGTGGACAAGAGCTTATTTATAACTTTTTTCCAGCTGAATGCCTGACAGTACGACACTGAACAGACTGTAGTTGTACCTGTAGTTGTTTTGATTTTATTAAAATGAATCACAGTGTTTCTTAGTTCATATAGTTAATATCTCTTAGTTAATATGGTCTTTATTCAGAGTAATCATCATATTTCATATTTTAAAACACTTTGCACTTTGCAAACAAAAACAAAGTTGAATTGTAGCAAATGGGACTTTTTCATGAATACATTTCTGTGTAAATTGTACATGAAACTATTCTTAACATAAATTGTTGCATTCAGTTCAAAGGGATAATTTACCTATGAATGGTTTAATGAACCATTTAGAAATTAATTGTGTTTAAAGCTGCAGTCCGTAAATTTTGCCTCTTTGTCGCCATCTCTGTTTGAAAACCTACAATTGCAGCTGTGTGTGGAATTATATTCCATGCGTGGGGTTGTGCTCCAGCGCGGATTAATCTAATGTTTTGAGGAGAATGTGTGGCAGTCAGTTTTGAACATTGGCTGGTCATGTACTTGCTCAAATATTGATGTCAGATAATTTTTAACCAAAAGAAGTTACGGACTGCAGCTTTAATGAAAAGGCCTCAATATGTTTTATTGACCCCAAAAAGTATTTTCTATGTTTCATCAGCGTTCAAAAATATGCCAGTGGCGCCTGTCTATTATGACTAAATATATTAACTTTACGTCAAAGCAAAATTATGTTCAAACCCCATTTTACCATGTAAATGTGGCGTATTTCCAGGCAAAACAGGATTTTCAAAATGAACAAATATAAAGTTGGACTTTTGATCTATTGAAAATTGTTTAGATGGTGAAAAGTGTCTCTTTATGACAAGTGATTGGAGGGGGAGGGCTAAAAAATAAGAGGCATTGATGATGTCAGCATTGAAGGAAATATTTTAAAGGCAACGCGAGTTATTCCATTTTGATGAAGGATTACGAAGACAAATATTTCTATCTTTGGAGTAATGTGCTTCGTTCACAATAAGACCAATAATATGTGTTGAGAAATTAAATTGAGCCAATTTCAAGTTGACTTTTAAGCTCTAGTAATATCCTTTCTTAATTAACTTTTCATAGTTTGCTTCTGTCCTCGCTTGAATGATTTCCTTTCTACTTTTACAGACACACACAAGACTCAAAAGGCACTGAGGAAGGAACAAAACAGAGATGAGAGCGAGCGCTAAGATCCATCCTATGAAAGTAATCATTCATAATGTGTATTTTTGAGATGTAACTCACACAGTGTCTCGGTGTCTCTTTTGCATTTGTTGTGGCTTCAGCAATCATCTCCGAGGAGGTGAGTAATGGCCACAGCGGGGAAAGAGGAAGGCATCAGATATTCAACACATCGAGTCATCTCTCCTCTGCTGTCTGTACCTCAGGAGGATCCAGAAACTTCAAGAAAACATTAGCCTTGCAGATAAAGATGTGCCCCTAAAAAGCAATACAAGAGAGACGCTTTGTAGATGAAGGCGCCCAATCTTCATCAGATTAATGGAAAAGTGAACGGAGATCGTAAATGGCGTGTTTCAGATCCCCTCAGTAGTGTTCAGGCCAACTACAAAATCTGTCCACATTTGAACCTTTTTTTGGCCAAGAACTTGCGAACATTGGGTCACAATGTGTTTGTCACCCGTCACCTGTAGAAAATTAATTGTGAAAACTTGTTCACACAGGAAGCAGCCGCACAGCAGAAGGTATTAAACGTGCCCATCCAGTCGTATTTGTAGTGATGAACTTTGGGGCCGATAACTCGCAACCCAAGTGTCCAATTACGCAGTAGACTGTGGGGCCACTTTAGATTTAATTAAAGGCAAGAAAACTAATATTACTTGTCACTGCACCTGACGGAGCACAATCTTGGTGAGGCTTACTGCTCGTTAGCGGATTGGGGCAGGAAGTTGCACCTCAAAGATGTACTGTTAGCATCATCCTGACAGACCGTCACTGAACATTATGCAAAATGTATTCATACGCTGAAAGTGAGAAGAGAGGGAAGGAAAGAGAGAATTGGTTGAAAGAAAAGAACAAATAGTGCTAGACATGATTTTGTTTGTGGTGATGTTACAAAATAATTTTATAAAGCTCATTAATATTTATTAGGTTATTTCAACTTCAACAACTTATTTGACTGTTTTTATAATTTGGTAACAAAATAAATAAATACATTTTCCTAATATAAATTTTCAAGCATATATAGTATATATTTAAAAATGAATGTAATGACTTTAATATATGAACATTTTAATAATATAATATACTATAATATATCATTAATGCGTACACTCTAAAAAATGCTGGGTTAAAGTTCATATATAAAATCATTATAATTACTCTCTAAAAAATGCTGGGTTAAAAAGGGACAAACCCAGCTATTGGGTTGTTTTGACCCCAACTGCTGGGTCAAAACAACCCAATAGCTGGGTTTGTCCCTTTTTAACCCAGCATTTTTTAGAGTGTAATTATAATGATTTTATATATGAACATTTTTAAATGATCATATAATTAAACCATGAAAATAAAATGTTTAATATATTAACATTTTAATATTAAAATTATAATGTAATATATTAAGAAATGTACGAATAAATGTAAATTATTTAGTGCTGTCAAAATTACCGCCTTAACACATGTGATTAATTTTTTCCGTTTAACGCATTAAAAATATTTAACCCAATTTACACAAGGGCGGAGCTAGGGTTGGCCACCCCACTCAAAACTGCTGCTTCTGTCTCTTTTTTCTTGACAAGAATTGAATTTATTTAGACGCAGAACATCTTTACGAGACTTTTCAGATGCACACTCCTATTTCACCTCATCGCCAGATGCTATTCAAATGAGCACAGAAAATGTACAGGTGATAAGGGAGCTTCAGTAGAACAAAAGTGAACTGCAGTCAGATGAGTACACATACTCTTCAATTGCACGCACAAATGCAGTGGCGCGCACTGTAAGATTTCATATTAAAGCGCAAATGAAACTACGAGCATGCAGTATCATAATTATGTCATCAGTTAAGTTATGAAGTTAGCTAAAAAAGGAGATTAAAGCTACCTTAAAACTGGGCATGGAAGTATTTGTTATATGAGTCCCATTTAAGAACATCTCTCTGAAATGCAGTGGTTTTCAGCGTTATCAGCGGCAGCTCTTAATGCAGCCAAAATAACCTAATAACCCAGTTGCTGTGATGTCTCAAAGAACAAAAGAAAATAGAGGAAATCAATAACTTGTGTAGCTTTGAGGATTCATCTATGTTTAATTTAGAATTTAGTGTTTGATAACTTTATTCAATTTCTGTATATTTCCTATTTGCTGAACAGCACAGGTAGCTAAGTATGACATTTATTATAGGGTTTATGTGAAGATTGTTTAAGATAAGTTCACTTAAATTAGAAGTTGTTATTTTTCAAAGTATAATCAAAATTAAAAATGATAGCTCTCAATTATACTGTAATGCTGAATGGCTATAGTCAATGGTTAAATATTAGGAAAAAGAAAACAATTTCATAGAGAAATCAGTAGTATTGGTATAAGTGATACTCGCCTTCAGTCATAAAAAAGATGCCATTAAGCAAATATTAAATATATACTGTCTTTATGTTTTTTCTACATTAATTTGAAGATTGAATGTGAAATTTAAAAAACAAATTTAAAAAGTACATTTAAAAAATATTTAAAAACTTTAATTTTAGGTGGGATTAATCGCGATTAATCATGAATAATTTCAGAAAAAAATGTTTTGGTTTTTTTTTATTATTGATTGACAGCACTAAAATTATTACATGTCCTTATTTTTAAACAGAAAATGTAATTGATATTAAAATCAATTAAATTAAAATTAAATAACTTTATATATGATTTTTTTTTTTTTTTAATTGTGCATTCAAGTGTCGCACCAGGTTTGATGTCATTGATTTTCAGTGGATAACATCCAAAATTTTGGGGTCTTTTTTGGACTTGACAGTCGTGGTCCTTATAAATTGCAAAATATTCTTTAAAATGTATCAGTTTATGTTCCATAGTAAAATTACAACAACATAAGGATTTGAAATGACATCAAGGTGAGTACATGATGTCAGTTTTCAGTTTTTCATGAGCTATTCCTTTATTTGGAATGAAAATGATAGTAAATAAAATATAAATTATTAAAAAATGGTCCTAAAAATATGCTTGTAATTTTTTTTTTTTAAATGTCATGATGATATGTAACCTGGACATGTCTTCATGAGATTCACCCTGAGGCTCATAAAAACCTTAATTGGTTCCGGTCAGTCATGAGTGTACTTCCTATTTAAAAAAGCCAACAAAATATATTTCTACTCATTACAACCGTCTTGCTGTGGAAGACCTGCATCGATCCATGAGATGTCAATTATGATCATCTCTTTTTCATAACACACAAAAACCATGAGTCAGGGATTGCAAGAAAGGCAAAAAGAGCAAGAGAATGCCGACTATATGGCCTCTAAAGACTGCAGAGGTTTTAGGATGTATTATAAGCCGTGTCCCTCGCCACAGCTTTAATTGGCTCAGTTTCTCTTTTGTGTCAGATATCACAATACCATGAATTAAAGGCTGCTTTATTACTGCCCGCATCTCCGCCACACGAGCTC